GGTCATTAGCGCGTCCCGCCATGCCACTCGAGAGTGTTGTTTATGTACTCATCTGCTCTCTTAGAGTTCGCCGCGTCGAGGCTGAGATTGTTCCTACGCGTTTTTGCAACGACGAATGAGGTGATGAAGGAGGATCACGCTTTGAAGTCTTTCTCTAAGTACACCCATTGCGGGCATAGGTACGCTTTTACGAACTTAATAAAGGACACAGGGACAATTGAGCACGATGAGTTAATTATTATCGTGTTGGAACTCTTTGTTCGTGAATACACCGCGTGGTGAAGTTATGTGTATCGACTACTGACTTACTCTAGACGAAACGTTAACTCGGAAAGAAGCGATCTCATATATACATATATACATATATATATATATATATATATATATATATATTTGTGTTTCCTTTTTCTGGGAATTGTATTCTATATAGATACAATTAATACTAGTGTTCAGTAAAATATTATTTATGTTTGCTATATTGTACTATTAATAATAGCATTTATCTTAGAGAAAGGAAGTATCTTGCTGTATAATTCTTTTTTATATATATAACGAGACGTAAGTGTGACGATGCTTTATAGAACGCATATTTTATTATTTATATCTAATTTATTATGTAAATATTCTTTTCAAACTCATGAACGAAATAAATTATTTCAAATTGCAAAATAATTCAAAGTAATGCAAAGCGCGCGGCGAAATTTTTGCTGTAATAAATATTGTCTGAATGTGCATTTTAAAAGAAGTGGAAAAAAAATATTTTGATTACATGTGTTTATATACGATCATTATTTGGACAATTTTTTTTATAACGGATAAAAATATTCATAATATATAACATAATAAAATATAAAACAATTCAGATAAGAATATAAGATTGTATAAAATCAATAAAATGCGATACAATGTATGCTTGCGTGTGTGCCGAGTTGTGTACAAAATAAAGCGAAAAATATACAGGGTGCTTGGAAATTAGTGATAAGTCTTTCGCACAGGGACAGAATGGCACTATTGCGAAAATTGCAAAATAGTAGAGGACACTAAAGTGGGAAGAAAAGTTCTCTACCATTTTGCAATTTTCGCAATAGTTAACAAGATATTAATTGCTAAAAATTGCCGAAAATTGGTCTTCAATAATTTTTTACTTAAATACTATCAACTTTACAGAAATATTGCAAAAAATGATTTATTTTTTTCTCATAGAACTCTATGAATTTTTTCAGAATTTTTTATCAACTTTTTAACACGACATTTTCTCATTTTTACCAACATGAGAAAATATGATATAAAAAATTCTGAAAAAATTCTGAAAAAATTTTTAGTTTTATGAGAAGAAAATAAACAATTTTTGTCTCTTGCAATTTTTCTGTTGAGTAAAAAATTATTGAATATCAATTTTCGCCAATTTTTAGCAATTAATTTCTTGTTAACTATTGTAAAAATTGCAAAATGGTAGACGATTAATATCTTATTAACTATTACGAAAATTGCAAAATGGTAGAGAATTTTTCTTCTCAGTCCATTCTGCCTCTGTGCGAAAGACTTATCACTATTTCGAAACAACTTGTATACTTTAAAATTATTCCTTATTTTTATTCAATCAAAAGTTTTATTCAATCGCAATATTATTTTTAATATGTGCAATAATAATGACAAATTATTTTGCTTTACGTTGAAAAATGAACACGATGCGATCATCGCAATTTGATTTGATTAATAATCAATGTCTTATCTATCCATGTGTGCCAATTACACATACTTTTATATATAAAAACTTGAGAGTGTGTCGACAGCACATCCGTTATAAAAATTGATTGTATTATTCATGTCTCAAGAAAGGAAGTTGTGCGTCACAGACGGTATCACGTAGAACAATATGTACGTGCCTTCATTCAAATTGCATGACCGATTCTACGAAACATTGCTTTGTAATCATTTTGTATAATATTAAAAAAAATATAAGTAATATATCTGATAGTTTAAAGAAAAATCCATTTACGTCGAAATTTTATATCATACATTAATATTATATTATATATTTATAATTGTGTTTCCTTGAATTTCTTTTTAAAACGACGAAAATTTCTTTTCTGTGACGATTTTTGTCTCTCACACGAAAGAAAATAATTAATGTGCGTATAATTTATTATGCTGGTTTATTTACGTAGTAAATAAGTAGTAGTGAATAAGCGTGCGTAAACTTGAATAGAGAGCTGTCTTCGAACGCGCTCAAAGAATTCTGTGATAGAAGAGAAAGCTTCAGCTGATTATTGATGTGTACCATGACATTCACATGATTTGCAAGTGAATAATTCAAGATACGAAGCGAATGCTCCCTAATGAGAACGAAAGATTAGTCATGCAAAACAATGTAGAATATGCTTTTCTGTGCCTATCTCAGTAAAATATTCTTATAATAGTAAGAGCGTGCCTTAAAGCGATCAGAAATTCTGAAGCAAGGTTGAATTTGATGGTTTATCATTTTCCTTTACGTGGAATATGTTGTTAAACTTGTTGTTTCGCTTATACAATGAAAGATTAGATGAAACAATTGTATTTATTATCTTACTTATTATAAAGAAATTTACATTTCTAAAGCAATTAACATTCCTCCAGAGATATTTCATGAAATTCGGTTTTTTGGCGGAAGAATTTTCCTTATTTATTTTGCTTCCACATTTCTTCGACCCAAGCATTTATAGCTTTACATTATTGACATAATAATTGTTATCTCATGTTTATTGATCCAGCATTGATCGGGCATTAATTGCGCGCGACGCGTTATGTAAAATGTGATTAAGGAGAAATAACTCATTATCACCTATCTTTCCCTCGCTTATTTTCGCGATGACATGAAGAAAAAAACAACACTAAATCATTGGAACATCCGCGCGTCACACGTCATTTATGCGTATTTCACAATAGTCTGTTCATCAACTACTACGTGATTAGATTTAATGCAATCGTTTTATTATCAATTTATCTTGTTATCAATTTATTTATTTAAAGCAGTTCAAGATTTGTTCGAACGAGCACATGTAATATTGTAAAATAATACACAATCATATGATCGTATCGTTCTAGAAATTCAATTCGTTCGTCCTGTATCTATCACCTCCGTGTTTTTACAAATGAAGAGATAAGTGTGATCTGGAATAACCAAAATTTTTTCAAATCGTATTCGGCTTTCATTTCATCTTCCGTTCGAAGATTGAGAATAAAGCAAAATTGAATAAATGAACAAATGAACAATAATAATAAATGAACATAAAGTTCACCTGAACTAATTCAATTAGATATATTTAAGGTTTGTTTTCTGAACAGTGTACACTTTTGGAACTTAAAGTGAAATACTGGTAGATATATATTTGATATTTGTTTTGAAAGCGAGAAAGAGACTAGTGCAGTCTAATACAAGAACAGAAAACAGACCATTATAGTATGCACAAAAGATATATTTTATATATCTTTATAAGAATTTTAGTAAAAATTCTGAAAATGAATATTAATAATATTCTGTACACGTATTATTTTTATAATATATTGATATTAGCATTTAATATGTCACAGATAATTATCTTACTCTATTAAACTCAGAAATAACTAGGTATATTCCTTATTTATCTAATTTTAATAACT